GGGAATATCATAGAGCTGTTTAGGCTGGAAGGGTCTTTGAGAGGTCCTGAGTCATGGTCAAAGTAGGGCTCACTGCAAAGCCAGCTCGGGTAGCTCCAGTCCTTGCCCAGCTGAGTTTTGAGTATCCTCAATAAAAGATCCCACCCCAGGACTGCACGTCTTGTATAGCAAAAACCTTGTTCTTTACACGCTTTGAAATCATCCCTGCTGCAGCTTCTGCACGGTGTCACTCGTCCCCTCTCACCCTGGGGAGGACCTGGCTCTTCCTTCTGTGGTGCAGGAGGGCTCCTGGGTGACCTCTGATCATCCAGGATGAAGGCACCACCTCCTCCATCCTCCCGATTCATGCTGTGCTCTGGCCCTGAAGAGAAAAGTGGGGTTCTAAGCAAGTTGAGCAGCGGCTCCATGGGCATATGAAGAGCTTCAGTGCACAGACTGGGGCCAGATAGTAACTGTGCAGCCAAACATCACCCTTCTTAACTCCAGAGTCCTCCATGGCACCTGGGGGACCACCAACATCCCTATGAAAGGGTAGGAATGAGCAGCCTGGCACTAAAACTGTGGCTGCCACTGGCATCTATCACATCTGTTTGCCATGGCTGTGGGGCTCAAAGCCAGCGCTCTGCAGTGTGAGGATGCTGAGGCTGAAGAGGAGGTTCACCACTTCTGTGACACCAGAAAGCTGTTCCTCTTTGCTTTAAAAACACTGTTAACTGCTGGGGTTATCACATACCATTTCATTCCAACTAAAGCATTAAGGACTGCCCTACTGCTTAGGCATGACTGAAAACCAGTATCTCACCTTACTTCTGGGGAACAAAGCGCCTCATCCTCCCCTTGCAATAAGAACAGGCTGACGTTCTGTACAAAGGTTTCACCTAGAAAACCAAGGATGTTTCAGTAGTTATTCAATAGCACCTGCCCTCAATAATCCCCAATTTAAGTTGCTTTGACAAAATACAGTAAAACTCAGACCTCTCTGTGCAGAAATGGGGTTTGACACCATTTTTCCAGGCAGTTTTACCCCACTTTCTACTTGAAGTCTTGTGCTGGAAATTTCCTGCCCGCATGGGTAACAAAAGGGCACCTTGCTGCAGCCCAGCAGGAGCTTTGGAAGGAGGACAGCCTCCTCGGGAAGGGAAACTACTTGTCCTTGGCACAGCAAATGGAATTCAAAGCGTTTGAACTGGCTGTGGGAAGGAAAAGAGGGCACGTTTGCAACTAGGACACCTTCTTGGCTTTGGGCAGTACAAAACGTCCTGTCCCAAGGGATGGGAGACGGAAGCCAAGGGGACTCCCAGCTGGACATCCCAGCGGTCTTCCCTGCTCAGCAACATGGTCAGAATCATCACATAATGAAAGAGGGACAGGGATTAATCCTGGTTCTGAGGCAGGCAGCATGGATAGGCTCTCAGCCACCCTGCTTTGGGACATTCCTCTGCAGAGCAGGCTGCATCTACGGATCATGCTTGTTGGACCCACGTGGTAGCCTACAACATTATTATTATTATTATCAATTTTTTTATTATTATTATTATTATCATTTTTATTATTAGTAGTATTATTATTAGGGTTCTTTCTGTGTGGGGTGAGGGTTTTATAGTGCAAACCCCATCACATGTCCTGGAGGGAGCTGGATGAAATAACTCAAAGCTGAAGACTGAGATAATGATGGAGGAGCCTGGGTCAGGAGTGGAGCTGCTCCCTGGACCCCCCTTTCTCAACAGCACACAGTGACAGGTAGGTCACTGCAGCTCCGTGTCAGGACACAAACACACAGGAGATGATCCACGCATGGCTCTGGTTTCTCTAAGGTCCTCACTAACCTGAAAAGCTCAATAGCCCCAGCAGAGCTGCTGGGATGGCCTCTGCAGCATCACAACAGCCATCTCCCCTCAGTGCCACACAGGAAACATGATTGTCCTAAAGGCTCAGCGCTGTCTGAGGGTTGCACAGCCCAACTCTCACCATGCACCAACTCATGGCCAGGCTTTCCTGGCAGCTGGGGGTAACTGCAGTGAGCACCCAGCCCTGGTGCCCAACTCCTGCTGCCCAGACCCTCCAGGGCTGCCAGCGTGAAGCTCATTCACATATTTGATTGCATTAAAGGCAATGAGCTCCTCTCTAGGCCAGTTTTCTAGAAGGGTGGACAGGAGAGGCGGTGCATATGCATGGGCCCTCTCCTGTAGCCTGGCTGCCCTCTGGACCAAGGCTCCCAAAGCTCTGATTTGCCTCGCCAGACGAGTTTCCAAAAGCCAGCTATCAGCGCCTTGCTCCCAAACACGTGTCCCTGTAATAGAGGCAGTTTATCCTCTGCTAGAATTGAGCAACTCAACCCTCCTCTTGCATTACGGAGCCTTTCAAGCATCATTTGATAAGCACTATGAGCGCAGCTCCTCAGGCATTGCTACATCTTTTGGCGTGCTTTGCCCTGCCAAAACTGTGTTTCAAGCTAGCTATAAATTATGCTTCATGGTCGGGCTTTCATCTGCTCGCCATGCAACGGGCGAGAACAAAGGCCACTACGTGCCACACCAAGGCAGAAGAGCCAAGGGCCGGGTGGAGGCAGAGGCAATGCAGGCGGCTGGAGGAGGCAAAACAACCTCAGCCCGCTGCCAGCCTTACATCAGGGATGTGGAAAGCTGGGGCTGAGCTGGGAATGGCGGGTGAGGGAGAGGAGGGGAAAGAGGGCAGAGAAACCTGGGTTTGCCTGCCCGGCGCTAAGCGGTTACAGCAGGAAAAGGGGAGGCAGCCACCATCCCACCCAAGGGTCAGTGCAGAGGGCAGGCGGCTGCACATGGACACAAAGAGCTGCACCTCCAGAAGCTCCGGCTGCTCCAAGGCCACCCTAAAGGGAATGGCCATGCCCAGCCCAGGGGTTTGGACCAGGTCAGAGTGAGCAAGGAGATGCCACCTGCAGGGTAACAGAACTCCTCCATGGGTCTGACATGTGGACCTGCAGCTGCTGGAGAAGGCTAAGGTGAGGAGGAGCCAGTGTTACCGGTGAGGCTGTGGGAAGCAGCCAGCACAAGCACACTGCAGTGTGCTCCTTTGGGGGGGTTTCACTCCCATTTCATCTCGGCACCATCCCTTGTGGGTGAGCTCTCCAATAGCTCTGACCCCCTGGAGGACCACAGCAGCCACCCAGTGGCAGGGCTGGTCAGAGGGAACAGACTAAACCTGGAGGCCCCTTAAATCCCTATTGACAGCAAGAACAGCACTAATGCTGTGATGGTTTCCCCATCACCCACACCCCAGCTCCTTAGGGCTTAACAGGCTCTTTTCTGTGAGCTAAGGTACTTCTTGAGGCTGATCTCAGAGCAACTGAGCGCACACAGCATCACCTCCACTGAGCTGGTGCTGCTGCATCCTGCCTTAAAACGAGACTTGAACAACAGTGAGCTCCATCAGATAGAGCAGCACTCGGGTTAACCACACACCTATGGCCCACAGACCATGCTCAGTGGTCACACAGATCCTGTCCACACTGCATTCACCTCACTGACTTCAGCAGTGAACAGCCAACCCCATCCCCACTGCAATGGTTTGGTTTTGTCTGCTGTGGTACCAGGTCCATAAGTAATATTAAGCAGGGAATTAGGGCATCAGCCCCTTCACACTCCACTCTGCCAGTGCAGAACACACTTGCTGCCAGGCTGACAGCTCCCATGGGGAATGGGAAACAGCATAAAAGGACAAAAGTCTTACCTGATGTTGAGAAAGGGAAGCCCCAGACAACAGGCAGACCAGGGCAGTTCTCCCACCTAGAGCAGGACACCAAGCTGGACCTTAGCAAAGCCACGGCCTCATCCTGCCCCACCACATAACATTGCCCCGTGCTGGTGATCACAGTCATGTGAACCACAGTGGCTTGTGTGCACCCGTGCTCTGCTCCCAGACCTCCATCCTCCAGCCACACCATCATGGAAGAGAGGGAATGCAGCAGGACATGCACCAGGGTACCACGGCTGTGTGCTTCCATGCGGGCTGAATTCCTGCCTTGGTGCAGCCTGCAAACCCCTCTGCATGGGGTGTAAGTGGCTTCCTTACCCACCTTTGGGACTCCAGCAGCAGCCACCTCCTGGTCTGCATCTCCAGCCCAGCTGCACTGTCTGCTCAGGAGCAAAGGCAGTTTTGAGACAGGCTTTGGAAGCAGAGGCGATGATCCCAAATGCCCTTTTCCCTCTCCAGATTTCTTGTCAGCCCCCTTTAGGTATTTGATGATGTTTGGATCTAAGTTACAGGAGCACACAGAAGGGCACCATCCTCAGTGATCTGAGGGTGATGCTCTCTTGAGTGTACTCCTGCCATAACCTCATAACCCAGGAAAGAAGTGTTCAGGCCTTTAGCTTGAGGTAAGACATTGCCAATGGCAGCTCTTAAATGGAGTTTCATGGGAGATCTAAAGCTTCTCAGGCCTCTGAAGGAGCTGGAACCACAGAGCTGCTCTGCAGAAGCCTGGGGAGACCTGGAGGACTCTGCAATCCTACAGCACCACTCCCTGGAGATGAAGGGATGGGACCAGCTGAGCAGTCAAAGGAGGAGCAAGGGCAGAAGCTGGGCCCCGATGGAAGACAACACTCAGTGAGGAGCAGCCCTGGGTTATCACACTGTGAATAAACTTAAACCTTGCTGAAGGTTAGCATGCCACATGAATGTACACAGCAACTGGCAGTGATAGCTCCAAGGAAGGAGGCATGACATCACTTGCTATGGGTACATCCTCATCAGCAAGTGCTGCCTCATGCCACCGTGCACATGTCCTTTTGAACCTAGTTAGCACGAGGAGAGCCTGCACCACTCTGCCACCCCACAGATGAGCAAGAACCAAACTTGTAGAAGCCTTGTAGCTGTTCTTCTGCTCTCCCAGGGTGAAACAGGAGCCTACACGCACACAACGCAGGGTGAGGGGTGAGCTCACACAGCCGTTACATGGCTGACAGGGATTACAGTCAGGAATTGGCTGCGCTTCCTTCTCCAAAATAAAAACTTACTCATGATGCAATTGCCTGAATTATGGTTTAATTTCATAATCTACTGTTGCTTTGTCTACAACATCGTACAAAATAGCAGCAGAAAGAACATTTCAGCCCCACATAAATGTTTGACTGGGTCTGAGGATCCAGTGCCTTTGAGTCTTTGATCTACGCTCTCCTGTTGTCTAGATGCTGTCAAAGTTCCTTTGGTGCTAAGGCTCCAGGGCTGTATGTTCGTACAGTCCTCATAACATTTGTGCTTTCCAGTCTCCTCCTCCACTCAGTGGTGGAATTCCCCAGCCATGGCAGAAGATCTCTGGTGGTACCTCGTCTTTCTGGTCAAACATGGAAGATTTTGAACCTCTTTTTGCATTAGGCAAAAACATTCCAGCAAGGACATGAGGTAGGGGCAGTTCTGTTTCAAAGGTGATGGTTTAGGACAGATACATCCTGGTTTACAGCACTTGCTATAGTAGATTTTCTAAGTACAGCATTGATCTGCACACACAAATACAATTGATTCTAGGTTTCCAATCATTCCCATCAATGAATTTTTGCTGGGAGTAGCACTACCCCATGTTGGCCAATCTGAGGATGCATCCCTTTATAGCCCAGATAAAACTAGCAGGCAGATCCTGGTTTCAGCTTAGAGGTTAAGGAAAATAAAAGACTTGGCTGCTACTGGCGGTGGAATAAATGCAGAACACAATTAGGAAACCTGCTGAGAATTACATGGAAACTGATACGATTGCTTTGGATTAGAAAATCACGCACTAAAAGGCTTCATTGATCTTTGGTGTCAAGAAATACTCTTGCTGCAGCCTGCCAACAGGTGAGTGGGGTGGCAGAATGATCTCTCCCACCTTTGTTCTCCTTGGAAAGTTTCATTTTGGCCAACTATTTTTCCTCTCATCTTCTGTGCTCCTGAAGCTTCTAACTGTGCTTTAAAGGTCTAGTGGAAAGCCATGATCATTACAAAGAGATACAATTCTTTTAATGCTTTTTCCCCCAATTTTGGCTACAGTGCAGCATCATGTTCCAAATGTAACTACTGGATCTGAAAACGAAAGCACTCGGACTATAACACACATCTGCAAAGAAAGACATAGCCTTTGTGTAGACCAGTTCTCAATAAAACCCTTCATATTTACACAGCAGTGCAGGGATGGTCTCAGGAAGGTCATGCTACAGGGTGGAGTCTGAAAAGAAGAGGAAGAGAGAAGTAGCTCAATACTGTAATAAGGGAGATGTCTGCAAAAGGATTACAGGGATTGAATTGACCCATTTCTCCACTCATATAATCCCACCAAGGTATTCTGAATTGCATTCAAAGGAAAATATATGGCTCAAAGTAAAGGATATTTCAAAATGAACTGAGTAAAATCGCCAGCAGTATTTATCTAAAAGCATAACCCACCATCAGGAACAAGAACAGCTACAAGAACACCATCCTCAGTTGGAGCATTGTGTGCAGTTCTGGTGTCCTCAACATAAAAAGGACATGGAACTGTTGGAACAAGTCCAGAGGAGGCCACGAGGGTGCTCAGGGGCTGGAGCACCTCCCGTATGAAGCCAGGCTGAGAAAGTTGGGGCTGTTCAGCCTGGAGAAGAGAAGCTGTGTGGAGACCTCAGAGCAGCTTCCAGTATCTGAAGGGGGCCTATAGGGATGCTGGGGAGGGACTCTTCATCAGGGACTGCAGTGACAGGACAAGGGGTAACGGGTTCAAACTGAAACAGGGGAAGTTTAGATTGGATCTAAGGAGGAAGTTCTTTACTGTGAGAGTGCTGAGGCACTGGAATGGGTTGCCCAGGGAGGTTGTGAATGCTCCATCCCTGGCAGTGTTCAAGGCCAGGTTGGACAGAGCCTTGGGTGCCATGGTTTAGTGTGAGGTGTCCCTGCCCATGGCAGGGGGGTTGGAACTGGATGATCTTAAGGTCCTTTCCAACCCTAACTATTCTATGATTCTATGATCAGTCCTATCCTCAAACACACTGATTCTCTACTCACATCAGGATGGCCCTATTTAACTTACACCTTATCGCTCTCTTTCCTCCTTTCTCATTCCCTTTGGCCACATAACACCAGCTCTTTCCTCACTGCTTCACCCAACCTTGCACATCTTGCAGGACCTTCTGCTCTGCATCTCCTGCACTATAGAAACCTGAGACATTATCTTAACAAATGAAGGTGGGATATTTTTTTTCTAAAAGAAAAACAAAATTCCTGGATCATGTAGGAAAATCAAGAGCTTTTCTCATGCCTGCCTTTTCAATTCTATTTCACTTCATAATTGATGACTAGTAAGATAATTAAAAATTCAATGAAGCAGTTCAAATATCCACTGCCTTATGAGAGATTGCTCTTGCCAGTAAATAAAGCTGCATGGCTACAAGTTTAAGGCATCTTAACAGCAGTGATGTATCTTGACATGCAGGAAGAGGAGCATTAAGGATCGTAGTTACCTTTAATAGTGAGGAAGGCTTTGCTGAACGCACAGCCCGATTCGTTGGTGGCTTCTACCATATATTCTCCTTCATCCTGTTTCGTGACACCCAGGATGACCAGGGAGCAGACTCCAAAGTCGTTCGTGCAAAAATAGGTGGGATCAGTGGAGAGGTCTCTACTGTCCTTGTACCAGTTGATCTTTGGAGCTGGATGGCCTCCAACCGCACAGCTCATGTGGCACTCGCTGCCGGTGGTCACCACGTGAGGCTTCAACGGGACAAGGAACCTCGGGGGCTGGTTTTGATTAACTCCCTTGTACTTCTGAGGTTTGATGTGAAACTCAGCTGTAAATGACAAGCAGCATAAAAACATGGCTCAGATACTGCTCCACAGCAAGAGAAGGCAGCGGTTAAAGGACTGACTTTCAGTCATGACACTTCCTTCCCTGCCCCACTGGAAGGTCTTAGGGTGTCCCTGTGCATTCTCTAGGCAACTAAACATTCCCAGGCGACCACCCCCATTTCAGGATGGTGTGTTAGAAACAATACAAGGAACAAAGCAGGACAGCACACACAAACACCTGTAAAAGCTGATTTACCCTTTGGTTTCCGGATTCGCCAAGGCTGCACAGTTTCAGATGGACCACTGGTTCCCAAGTTGTTTTTTGCCACAACTCTAAAGTAGTAGTCCCGGCCTGGGATCAGGCGGGTGAACGTGAACTTGTTGGTGTAGATCAGGTCGCCCACCACACGCCATGTGCCCTTCTGTGATTCACGTTTCAGGACTGTGTAGTAGAGATCTCTCTCCCATTTCTCGGATGCTGATGGCTCCCAGGTGACTGTCACTGTGTTTGGCACATTCTCTTGCAGTTGAATAGGTCCAGGCGATTGCGGGATATCTGTCAGATGAAGGCAAATAGCATCAAAGATGTAGGGAAAGTGGCACAGTATAGAACCCTAAAAACTTGGAGTATGTTCTAGTTCTGGGGGCTGAGTAAACAGCCTGGCCATTAGAAAGGACAAGATTTGATTCCTTCGCCAGTCACACCAACTCATTAGCTATTAACTGCACTTCTGCCACATTACATCTGCATTGCTTGGCTCTTCCCTTCTTATAGGGAGGAGATGAGGGTGGTACAGCTGAATGTTTTCACCTCCTGGTGAGACAGCGTATAGAGATGTAGTAGCTATGACTAAATGTCCTACAGCCTGCTGCTGCCTAACCGTAGACTGTTACCACGGGTATGATCTGCTCTCCTGTGTTTTGCACTCCCCTATTTAAGCAAAGTCACTTGGGAAACCAGGTGTCATTTTAACCACTGGATTACTCTGTCCTGCAGACACCACCCAATCCCATGGAAAACTGCACTGAATTGCACCAGTGCTCACCACGATCAACTCAGTTTGTGGTCTACCTGCAGTAAATCTACATGGATATCTGGTAGTGAGGGAGTCACCTGTAACTTGAACTTGGAAGCTGAACGTTTCTCTTTTCCCTAACCCATTCTGGAGCTCAACGGTGTAGGTGCCGCTGTCAGTGAACTCAGCTGCTCCAATCAGCAGCTGCGTGGTATCATCTTTGGTTTTTATTGTAGCCTGGCTTGGAAGAGGATGCCCATCCTTTAACCAGGTCACCACTGGGTCTGGAGACCCCTGTAAAGAAAAGCACAAGTTATGGCCCACTTGTTTTGCCTCCAGATTGCAGCTTTAATTCTTTAGTTTCATTGTCCTGTCCCATATCATAGAATCCCAGACTGGTTTGGGTTGGAAGGGACCTTAAAACTCATCTAGTCCCAAAACCCTTGTCACGGGCAGGGACACCTTTCACTAGAGCAGGTTGACAAAGTATACCTGCAAAAATGTGTACCTACATAGAATCATAGAATCAATTAGGTTGGAAAAGACCTTTAAGATCATCAAGGCCAACCATTACCCCACCACGGCCAAGACAATCACTAAACCATATTGCTGATGGCCTTGTCTATTCAGTTTTTGAACACTTCCAGGGATGGTGATTTTCCTAAGGTACTATTTAGAAATATGGATGCAAGATGGACGCAAGAGATCTAAAGAAAGGGCTGCTGTAAAGTTTCTTTGCAACTCTCTCTTTCTCTGTGTCTTTTAAGACTGTTATTGGAATAAGTTGTCCAGGTTAACCATGTCAAACAAGGTGTGCGACATCAGGACAAACAGCTGACATCAGTAGTTAGTCTTTTCTACTGCTGGCTTTGAAAAGAAGAAACATCCTCAAAGTCTTTGTTTCCATTATGCCATCTTTGGTCTCTCCTCTTTTGGATATCCCACACTTTATCTGTGCTACTCCAAGCTTGTGTCTAAGCAGACAGGATTTCAGTGCATCCATTCCTCAAGTCATACAGCTGAAGTCCTGCTGCTTAGTATTACAAACACAGTTAAGATGTGGCTAGAAACATTACCTCAAGGTCTTCTGAGGGAGGCAGAGGGAACTGATTTTTAAACTAAGTATGACAGATGAGTACCAGATGATGCTAATATTGAGATGGTTGGATGGCCAGCACTGTGCCATCTGCAGAGGTTAAAGAGTCACCCTAATCTCTTATAGCACTGATGCTAAGAGTGACAGCTGAATTCTTGCTCATGTTTTCCACATGCAGAGAGCATACACAGCACATGCAGCTTAAAGAATCTGCCCAGTGTCTAGTAAATAAAATTCCACCCCAAGAAAGCTCAGTTTTCCTGCCTGGTATTGAGTACAACATAAAAACAGGTGGGGAATTCTTACTAACACGTTTGAATACTTACTTCAAAGGGAATATTCACTCGGATGGTATTTCCTGCTTTTATAACCAGGAAGCTTTTCACTGTGTCATCTATTAGTAACCTTGGAGGAACTGGAAAAGACAGTGATAGCAATGAAAAGTTGTACATTATTACTACAGTCTCCAGCTGACAGTCACACACCTGTGTTTGATATGCTCCTAATGCCTTCCCCAACAGCTAGTTGGAAAGAAAAGAGGAGAAAAAGCAGTTTTGGAGGGGGTTTTGTCATAATGAGTCTTTAACAGGAGCTGCGCACTGTGCATTGCACATTTATTATCAGTTCTCTTCAATTTCCTCATGATGTGACCAAACAAGACCGTCCTGTAGAGGAGCAATGCAGTACTTGTCCTTCTGCCTGGGACTTAAAAGAAGCTTGTCAGTGACCTACGGACCTTGGCTGCATGCTGTTGCCTATAGAATGACCTTGCTCATTCTGAAAGCCCACTTTGACTTACCGACGGGGGGAGCAGGGCCAAGGAGAGCTTCAAGCTCTGCGGCTTCTCCTGGGCCACTGTCATTGAGGGCTCTCACACGCAGGAAGTATATCTCCTTGGCTTGGAGGCCTTTGACTGTGTAAGTGGTTGTCTCTATGGGAAGAACATTGCATTTGGTCCAGTTGAGGTTGTTAGAAGACCGCACTTCCACTTCATAGCCCTTCACATCACTCCCATCGTTCGTTTCAGGTCTCTTCCATGTCAAGGTGATACTAGAGCTGTCACTGCTGCTCACTTGAAGGTCCTGCACTTGACCTAGAGATTCTGAAAAGAGAAATTTTATTTAAGTTATTTTTTTAGGAATTTTGTCCCCTTTTCTTCAGTCACTTCCTGAGATTCCCCAACATTACAGGGTCACAGAATCATTAGGGTTGGAAGGGACCTCTGGAGATCATCTAGTCCAACTCCCCTGCCAAGGCAGGGCCACTTAAAGCAGGTTACATACTTGAAGCGTACTGGATATCAACCCTGAAACAGTCTGCAGCCCATCCTGAATACTTCTCCACACTGTACATCTCCCCCATACATGGAGTCTGCCACATCTTGACTAAGACATAGCACAGGAAATCCTGCCATTCCTTCCTCATGCTGACAATGGATTCTATCCATTGCCATGAAATGTTCCCAATTATTTGATCTTCACATACCTTTACCAAGCACTTGAAGCCATCCTCTCTCCACTAACATCACCAGTCTGCATTCAGATGTACCAATTCCAAGCCAGAAGGATGGGGGGCAGTGCACTTACTTGTGGAATCCCGTGCAAAGACAGGCTTTGACGGTTCACTGGCATCTCCTGTGCCTGCAGCATTGACAGCTGCCACGCGGAACTCATACTGCAGACCTTTCTTGAGATTGGTCATCTCCAGCTTCTTGTCTGCAGAATGAAAAGGAGAGTGTTGGCTCAGATGTATGCCATCAGGAGTCACATATAAATGCTGTCACTGATTCCCCTGCCCTTCCCTCTCCAAGTGCATGCTTCTGGAGCGTGTTCATTGTATTTCCTTTCAAATCAAACAGCACTTGAGAGCTATTAAGTTTGAAAAAAAGGATAAATACTGCTTTTCCTCATGGGATAATCCTAAACTCTTCTATACCAGATAAGAAGTCCTAGTTTTCACCTGATAGATAATGCTAGCTACAACCAAAACACCACTTACTTGCATTTATATATTCGTTGCATTTGTATATTGTATTTACATAGTCCTTGCATTTATAAATTCCTGTCTGCCAAGGTCCTAGTGCAAGGACTAAGGACAGTAGTTCCACACATGGAATGAAGACTTTAGCTCCAGAAACTGAAGACATCAGTTTGTTTATAGAGGGTGCAGCAGTGAGCTTGTCTGCACTCCAGCCATATGCTGGATCATAATCCTCCTAATCCCAGGCATTCGGCTGTATATAAACCCAAGAGCTGGATTTGCTGTGGTACAGCTGTGAAACCTTAGTTGTGAGAAGAATGTAGTTGGGGGAAAACATATACCCTATGAAAGAGAAGAAGGTAAAACTTCATACAGGAGGAACGTGGTTGCGATGGGGACAGGCAGCAGCTCAGGAATTAGAGGGGAAACACTGGTGTGAGAAGGTGTAAGATCCTCAGCAGCTTCAGAACCCAGCTGACCTTTTTGCCTTCTCCAGGTCCTCCAGTCTGCTCCAGGATTTAAGCAACCCACCTGCTATAGGCACGCTGTTGACTGGCAGCCAGGTCATGGTACCCTTCTTGCGCTTCTGAACGAGATACCCCACAATTCGGGAACTGCCGCTTTTCTGAGGTGCTTTCCAGGATATTGTGATGGCGTCTCTGCTGGCACTGACAACCTCAGGGGGATCTGGGGCACCAGGCGTAGCTAGGAAGAGGTCAATGTTTCGTTATTATAGCTACGTTTTCATTGCAAGGTGACAAAGTGCTCTATGGCATTTCTCATTCTGATTGCCCCAAGGTATTCATGCGGATGTGTTTTGAAAGCCTGACTGAGACCTGAGGTTGTGGATCCTATCCCCCACACAAAGAGAATTCAACATGGACCTGTGTTCCTCAATTTTGTTTTCATTAATGACCTGCTGCCATCGCAAGTGACAATTCCACTGTCAGCCTACAGAGTGAGGAATATCATTCTTACATGGTAAGATAAAGACAGCATCATTCCTGCTTTTAATGGTAAAAACCAGAAACAGAATAGCTTTTCTTAGCCCTCTGCTAACGCATTCAAAATGCAGGTCTTCTCATGATCATGAGAAGAATGTAGAAAGATGAAAATCAGAATCAGAGCATTGCTTTCTCTCCAGTACTACATTCATGCTCATGGCAAAAGTGGTCTAGTATTTAAACTCATGGAAGGACAAGGTTGGACAAAGCCTTGGGTGAGATGGTTTAGTGTGAGGTGTCCCTGCCCATGGCAGAGGGGTTGGAACCAGATGATCTTAAGGTCCTTTCCAACCCTAACTATTCTATGATTCTACGACAAAGAATAGAATTAGATGTTTGGAAATCAGGGGAATGAAGTCATCATGCTGAAAACTGCTGCACAAAAGGGAGACATTCCTTGGCCTATGGAGTTAAGAAAAGGCCTCACATGTTCCCTGTGTAGCCACCCTGGGAAAAACATTCTTGGATCTTCATGCAGTGTTGCATTTCCCCTATGAAACTCACTTCCCAGTTCAGAATGGAGCAGAACTGAGAACCTAACACCACCCCACTCAGCATCACCAAAGCCTGCAGAAAACTTCTAGTCTTGATGTGCAATCTCCACAGACTTCAGAGCTGCAATTCAAGTTTAGGTCTGTAGCAACATCTGAAATGCAGTGAGATTCCCTTGATGTCGTCTTTGACAGTGAATTTCCCAGATGGTTGTTGAACACCATTATGGAAAGTTCTTCCTTACCCTTACTGACAGCCTTCACTTCCTCCGATTCCAGCGCATCGCTGGTGCCCTCGGCATTCACAGCTCTCACCCTGAAGTAGTAGCTCATGTCTTGCTCCACTTTGTTGGTAGTGAAGGTGGTGCAGCTCCTGGGGCTTTCTCCCAAAGTCACCCACTCGTCCTTGCCCACCTGCTGTCTCTCAATGATGTAGTTTTGCACTGGTTTGCCCCCATCATCCTTTGGGGGCTTCCACTGAATGGTGATGTCGTTTGCAGAGCTCTCCACGATTTTGATGGGCCCTGTAGGCGGTTGGGGCTTGTCTGAAAAGATGAACACAGAGAGTCAATGAGCTGCCTCCTGCTCAGCAGCTGGGTGGAAGCCAGGCCCTTCCTCCATGCTCTCATTACTCTCATAAGCACTGCACCAATTCAGCCTGCTTATAAAGGAGGAGCACCATTTCTGGTCTTCCAAAAGAGCTCAGACATTTATGGTAGGGCTGAATTTGGCCTTGATCATCTATTTTAGATTTGCCTCTTGCACATAGTCCCATCTCCCACAGCTGCCCAACATTCAAAACCCACCTGCTGATGCCATGCAAAACCAAACCAGATCCGTGTCACCTTGGACTAAGAAAAACATCAGCAATCTTGGCTTGTACTCTGGTTTGATGAGAAATTCATCTTGGGATAATACCTGGTAACTCTAAATAAGATTGTTACCAGTGTTAATGGATTTCCTGCCTCAGCTTTACCATGAAAACCACAGTGGATATTAGGGGGCTCTTACCAAATACCACAAGTTTTAAGTTGATCTCCAGGACCCCACTGTCATTCTTCAGCCTGACTTTGTAATCCCCAGCATCCTTTCTCTCGCTGCTGGAGATGGACAGCTTGGTAAAGGTGTCTGTTTTATCAACACGGATCCTTGTGTCATCTGCTAGCTCCATCTTGTCCTTCAGCCAAGCTGCTCTGATTGGCAGCCGGCCCTCAAAAGGGATCTTGATGGTTACGTTCTGCCCTGCCTTGGCCACAGTAGGAACACTCGTTAAGTTTTTGAGGAGCACTTTGTCAACCTGTGGAGGATCTAAGCAGGCCATACAAGGTCATTAAAATCTGCAATTCAAAGAGGATAAGGCTTACCTTGGAGGGAAGGGCTTCCCTCTTGATGCTGCAAATAACGCTTAGAAGCTCATATTTGTACCTTCACCTTTAGTTGCACGCTCAGTGTTTCATATACATTCATGTACTTTGCTAGGGGATGATCATCATAAGGTGTATTTGGTATCACACCATCCTTTTCATGGGAGCAAATCTCTCATAGGAAATAGACTGAACACATGAATGAGGAATCTTGCCTGTTAAAGCATTAGTGCACCCCAAAATCTCTGAGGTAATAGAAGCTATTCAGGAAAGCTCCCTACTTAAATCTGTAAAGACAAAAGGCACTAACCTGTATGAAAACCATCTCCCATTTACATAGTTATTCTTTATAATAAAGTTCTCAATAACCAGCAATAGGTCTCTGAGAAGAAGTGTTCTGTTTAAAGCCCATCAAGCCCAGCACGCTGCATTGGCAGTTTGAGTAGACTCACCTTCAACAAAAATTGAAGCTTCGGTTTTTATATCTCCACTTTCAAACCTGTACTTCCCAGCGTGAATATCTTCCACTTTGTCAATAACCAGTTTGTGGACTAGACCTTCCTTTTTAAAGCAGACTCCCTCCATGCTGGTTAACTACGAGGTGAAGCACAGAAAGCAAAACACAAGAAATTGAGATGTAACTGAAAAGGCTTAGGAATGACACATGTTTAATTACAGTAATATTCTGAGGTTACTCATCCAGTAATGTTGCAGAAACATCATCAACATATTCACCACAAAGGCTTGATTTAAAGTCCATTAAAAGAACATTTTAGTACAATGTCCAAGCTCTCTATTTCTATTCTTAATGACAAAAACTTGGGTCCATGTTCGAGTACGACTGGATCCCACAGCAGGAATTACTATTCAGTGGTGTGTTGGAACCTAGAATAGGATGCCTACATTTGACCTTAAGCACTGATTTGAAAGACCATTCTTTGCTTTACACCACTCTGAAGTATCCTTTGAAGATTTCCCCCTTGCTCTTTGCACATTTCTCTCATTCACCAAAAGAAAAGAATTGCATGGCAAGGAAGTGCCCCACACCATCTCCACCCATGAAAACGAATGGCAAACACAAAGGCTCCTATGGTCAGCAAGAATGAAACTGGTTTGCAGCAGTAAAAGGGAGAAACCTTGCTGGATTTCTATCAAGAATTTCATTATCAACAGGCTCCTGTAGAATCTTTCCAGGGCTGTATTCAGACTAGAGTAAGACTGGTAGAGGGAAGGACACTTTGATGCACCACCTAAGAGGTAGAGCCAGAGAGCAGAGCTCATCAAAGAATACAGCACTTAGAAGATACCCACCTTCAATCCATCTTTAAACCAGGTTCCTGTCACTCCATCTTTACTGACAGTGCAAGACAGCTCAGCTGGTTCCCCTTTCAGGACTCTGACATTCAGTAGCTGTTTGTTGACATGACAGCGTGGCGCTGAACATTCAGAAAGGAAGATGTTGAGAAGATGCTAACTCTGCGTTAACACTGATAAAGAAATGTATAGATGAAAATGCATGTGCACAGGAGGAAAACAGAGAGCTTTTGGGGCTATATATACTGTAGTCATGTCAGGTTCTTGTACCACAAGGCTTTGGGCCAGCTGGCATGAACGCGTTGCACTGAGGGGACATGCCAACTGGCTGGCATACAATATAGCCCCAACATCAACCTCATGGGGAATGGATTCGCCACAGATTGCATCATCTATCTACAGATTCGCTATTTTAAGTCTCCGCTGATTTTCCTGGCTCCCTGTATGGGAGCCATTGGGAAAACTGGGCTACTGCAGAATACTCTTTTCTCTGCATTGAACAGATATAGGACTGCCCAACCACTTCCTCCTAAACAGCCCCAAGTGTCACTAACTCTACCCCCTCTTTCCCCTGCTCTCCATTAACACCCTCATCCCCTTTCTAATAAACACCCCACCTCCTTCCCTATTAACTCCAGTTCCATTGATTTTCTCCCTTATTTATATGTATGCCCCATCCCTGGAAGCGTTCAAGACCAGGTTGGATAGGGCCTTGAGCAACCTGTCTAGTGGAAGGTATTTTCACAGTATCATCTTGCCAGTGTAGCCATTGGTCTCAGTCAAATGGCTGCATACACTTTACTCTCCTTCTACTATATGCAACACCTTATTACTTCTAATGTTACAAGAGAAAAGAGCACTTTAAATCAGGCCCAATGAGTCTATTGATCCATTATACGCAGGCACAGATTTGTTCCCAGAACTTGGAAGAAAAGATATCTACACTAGATCTTAGGACAAATAAAGTGATACAGTAAGTTTTAAATTGGAACATCATCAAAGAAGCATGGCCATATTCCTTGAAACACTATGGGAATTAATGTCTGTGAACTCAAGTCTGCTCCATGTGGACCTGAATCAGATATTTGATTGAACAGATGATACCTGGTTTAGATAATTTAAACAAAGAGAATTTAGACTTTTAAGGAGTGCAAGCTGAGCAAATCGTGTGAGGTCCAACAGCAAATCAGTGGTAGAATTAGGAACAGATCATAGTATAACCAAATTGTGACATATAGCTGCAGTTCTCTAAAGCATAAGATCCCATTTCTCTCCAGGATTAGGGATGTGAGGATCAACATGCAAAGCCCAGGAGGACAGAAGCCATGGATTAGACACATACCTTTCAGATCATCAAGGCAATAATGTCGCCTTTTTTCCACACTTTCTATGTTCTTCAAGAAATCATTTGTTTTAAAATCAAGGCTGGGTTCCTCTTTCCGCTGGTTTATCGAAGGAAGTCCACCATAATGAGCTGACATCTGACCATAATCCAATGAACCTTGACCAAACCTACCTGAACTCCTCCCACCAGCAAATCTGTTAAGGGATTTACTCGCTGCCCCTCCAAAGGCAGATTTAGGGCCATGAAGGGACCGTAACTGCCCTAGATCTCTGCCTCCACCCCTGGCAGCTCCTTCACGTGAAAGTGAACCTCTGTCATCAGATGAACCTTTACTCCCTGATCTGAAATCACTGGCAGTGCCCTTTCCGGTTTCACGTCCAGTAGAAGACTTGCCAGGACGTGAATCCAGCCCATATTCACCCCCACGTCCATCGGCACCTATCACATCTTCCTTACCACCTCCAGAACGTAACCCCTTCTCATCACCTCTCAAACTCCCAATGCCATCCACACCAGCCCTGGCTCCAGCTGACACACTGTCCTTGCCATAGGGAGATGCAGTATCCCTCACTGCAGATCTACCTACACCACCAAGTTCTGAGGAAAAGACATTTCCTGCTCCACCTGCATAACCTGCAGCTTTGCTAGGCACAGAATCCCTGCCATGGTGAGACCCCATTACTTCTGCACCTCCCAAACGAAAACCACCAGAGCCTGCCGCACCCACACGTGGGACACCAGCCTTTCCATACAGAGATCCTACTACCTCTGCACCAGCTACACCAGCACCACCAAAGCCAGCTCCAACTGGGAGACCATCCTTTCTATATGGGGACCCAACTCCCCCTGCACCACCTACACCAGCACCACCAAAGCCAGCTCCAACTGGGAGACCATCCTTTCCATATGGAGACCCAACTCCCCCTGCACCACCTACACCAGCACCACCAAAGCCAGCTCCAACTGGGAGACCATCCTTCCCATATGGAGACCCAACTCCTCCTGCACCACCTACACCAGCACCAGCTATGCCAGCCCCAACTGGGAGACCATCCTTTCCATATGGAGATCCAACTCCCCCAGCACCACCTACACCAGCACCAGCTATGCCAGCTCCAGCTGGGAGACCATCCTTTCCATATGGAGATCCAACTCCCCCGGCACCACCTACACCAGCACCAGCTATGCCAGCTCCAGCTGGGAGACCATCCTTTCCATATGGAGACCCAACTCCTCCTGCACCACCTACACCAGCAGCACCAAAGCCAGCTCCAGCTGGGAGACCATCCTTTCCATATGGAGATCCAACTCCTCCTGCACCAGCTACACCAGCACCACCAAATCCAGCTCCAACTGGGAGACCATCCTTTCCATATGGAGATCCAACTCCCCCTGCACCAGCTACACCAGCACCACCTACACCAGCTCCAGCTGGGACACCATCCTTTCCATATGGAGACCCAACTCCTCCTGCACCACCTACACCAGCAGCACCAAAGCCAGCTCCAACTGGGACACCATCCTTTCCATATGGAGATCCAACTCCTCCTGCACCAGGTACACCAGCAACACCAAGGTCAGCTCCAACTGGGAGACCATCCTTTCCATATGGAGATCCAACTCCTCCTGCACCAGCTACACCAGCACCACCAAATCCAGCTCCAACTGGGAGACCATCCTTTCCATATGGAGATCCAACTCCTCCTGCACCACCTACACCAGCACCACCAAGGCCAGCTCCAACTGGGAGACCATCCTTCCCATATGGTGACCCAACTCCCCCTGCACCACCTACACCAGCAGCACCTATGGCAGCTCCAACTGGGAGACCATCCCTTCCATAGGGAGACCCAGGTCCTCCTGCACCACCTGCACCAGCACCACCAAATCCAGCTCCAACTGGGAGACCATCCTTTCCGTATGAAGACGCAACTCCTCCTGCACCAGGTACACCAACACCACCTATGGCAGCTCCAACGGGGAGACCATCCTTCCCATATGGAGATCCAACTCCCCCTGCACCACCTGCACCAGCACCACCAAAGCCAGCTCCAATGGGGAGACCATCCCTTCCATAGGGAGACCCAGGTCCTCCTGCACCAGCTACACCAGCACCACCAAATCCAGCTCCAACTGGGAGACCATCCTTCCCATATGGAGATCCAACTCCTCCTGCACCAGCTACACCAGCACCACCAAATCCAGCTCCAACTGGGAGACCATCCTTCCCATATGGAGATCCAACTCCTCCTGCACCAGCTACACCAGCACCACCAAATCCAGCTCCAACTGGGAGACCATCCTTCCCATATGGAGATCCAACTCCTCCTGCACCAGCTACACCAGCACCACCAAATCCAGCTCCAACTGGGAGACCATCCTTCCCATATGGAGATCCAACTCCTCCTGCACCACCTACACCAGCACCACCAAATCCAGCTCCAACTGGGAGACCATCCTTTCCATATGGAGATCCAACTCCCCCTGCACCACCTACACCAGCACCACCAAATCCCGGTCCAACTGGGAGACCATCCTTTCCATATGGAGACCCAACTCCCCCTGCACCAGCTATGCCAGCTCCAACTGGGAGACCATCCTTTCCATATGGAGATCCAACTCCCCCTGCACCACCTACACCAGCACCACCAAATCCAGCTCCAACTGGGAGACCATCCTTTCCATATGGAGACCCAGCTCCTCCTGCACCACCTACACCAGCACCAGCTATGCCAGCTCCAGCTGGGACACCATCCTTTCCATATCGAGATCCAACTCCTCCTGCACCACCTACACCAGCACCACCAAACCCAGCTCCAACTGGGAGACCATCCTTCCCATATGGAGATCCAACTCCTCCTGCACCAGCTACACCAGCACCACCAAATCCAGCTCCAACTGGGAGACCATCCTTCCCATATGGAGACCCAACTCCCCCTGCACCACCTACACCAGCACCACCAAGGCCAGCTCCAACTGGGAGACCATCCTTTCCATATGGTGACCCAACTCCCCCTGCACCACCTACACCAGCAGCACCTATGGCAGCTCCAACTGGGAGACCATCCCTTCCATAGGGAGACCCAGGTCCTTCTCCACCACCCGCACCAGCACCACCAAATCCAGCTCCAACTGGGAGACCATCCTTCCCATATGGAGATCCAACTCCCCCTGCACCAGCTACACCAGCACCACTAAGGCCAGCTCCAACTGGGAAACCATCGTTCCCATATGGAGATCCAACTCCTCCTGCACCACCTACACCAGCACCACTAAGGCCAGCTCCAACTGGGAGACCATCCTTTCCATATGGAGACCCAACTCCCCCTGCACCAGGTACACCAGCACCACTAAGGCCAGTTCCAACTGGGAGACCATCCTTTCCGTATGGAGATCCAACTCCCCCTGCACCAGCTATGCCAGCTCCAACTGGGAGACCATCCTTTCCATATGGAGATCCAACTCTCCCTGCACCACCTATGCCAGCTCCAACTGGGAGACCATCCTTTCCATATGGAGACCCAACTCCTCCTGCACCAGTTGCACCAGGTATACCAGCATCACCGAATCCCGGTCCAACTGGGAGACCATCCTTTCCATATTTAGATCCAGCTCCTCCTGCACCAGCTACAGCAGCACCTTGTCTAAGTGGCCAACCATCTGGACCATACAAAGCCTCCATTTCCCCTATAGAACTGCCACCTGCACCAGATGTAGCCTTATCTCCAACTGGAGTTCCACCTGGACCATACAGCAAGCCAGACCTTCCTGTCTGACCTAAGTGACCTCTAGCATGAAGTGCCAGGCCATCTTCACCATACGGGATCCCTATTTGTCCTTCTGTGTTTATGCTTGCTCCATCCCTATCAACCACAGCTGGCAGACCATCCTTGCCATAGGGGGACCTCATTCCTCCTGCAGTCTCGGTGCCTGCAGCATTCTTTCTAGCTCCAGTCCACGGACTAGTCCTTCTGAAGGAGCCATCCTTACCATTTCCCACTCCGGTTGAATCAGGATCAAGTCCATCTACCTCAGAACTTCCACCAGCAGCACCTGATCTCCCAACACCCCCAAAGCCAGCTCTGTAACTACTATCACCTAATTTACCATCCTTGTCATGCTGAAAGCCCACACCTTCTCCATCAGCCATGCCAACTTTAGCACTACGTAGGATAACACCACCTCTGCCATCCACAGAATTCCATTCACCTACTGCTCTCGATTCATCACCAGTATCTTCTCTGCCTGCCATAGAATCCTTGCCTTGGAAAGGCCTTAATCCACTTTTGCCTCCAAAGCCTTTCCATCCCAAAATACTCCCATCACTTGCCATGGTGTCTCCATCTAGATCTGCTTCAGAAAACTGCCCACCCCCCATACTTTCATTTCTGTTGGCTCTGCGTAGCCCAGCCTTTCCCAAAAATCTATGGCTTCCATTAGCATCAACAGAGTGGCCTTGGCTTCCTCCTTGACCATTTCTGTACCAGCCATCTTTTTCCTCCTCAGTGTCCATGAGATGATCTCCATCACCAATAGATTCTCCCTGTCGAAGTTTCTTTGCCCAGTCTCTCTTTGGCAATGTCTCTTCCAGCCACTCAGAGCTTTCTTCTGCTTCACCTGGTCTCCCCTTTCCTTTGGCATCTGTATTGAAGATGCATGGTTTGATTGGAGGAGATAGAATTTACAGGAAAAGAGGGGGGGGGAAAGAAAAAGAGAACAATGAATAAGTCATGTACTGAATCAATACAACAAGAATGTGGCAGCGTTTGTTACAGTTCCATTCTGGGACATGATAAATACATTTCAGTTCAAGTCCTGATTCTTTTCAGTGTCACATTCACACCTAATCTGCCACTTCTCAGTTGAAGACACAATCACAGTGAGTGGAAATGTGCTTGTTAAAGAAACCCAAGCAAGCAAAAAGAGGATTAAACCAAGGCACATTTCCAGCACAACAGGTCTACTTCAGAGGCGCTTAGATTGTAGCTGGGACCCATTAGTTCCTTTTGCCATCTCCCTTCAGCCCTGGAGGGGTAACAGACTAGCCCACAGATGGGCCATCAGTTCCCACTTTAGGAAAGACTTTTTAGAAAGCAGGATCTCAAAAGCAACCAAAGCAATCACCTTTCAGAAGCAAAAAAATACACTGAGTGTTTCCCATCTTCCTTTGAGCAGCTTCTAACCTGTTTAACCTCTAGTATGGAAAGAAATGACTACCTGACAAGTTAGTATTGAATAGTGTTGATAGTACAGAATTGATAGTACCTAAGGCTGCTTTATCCCCTGCATGCTGTGCTGTGTTCACACAGGGACAGCTTCAGCAAAAGCATATGTTGAGCTATGGAGGTTTTTTCAATAACTGATGGAGAACATATAACTACATAGCAGCTGTAAATAAGCTGATGGGATTTGTCAGGATTAATAAAACAGGAAAAATGTGCCTTATCTGAAGAGGAAAGATGGTCTATCCAGACCTTCATTTTCCAGGTGTAACTTGGGAACCAGGTGCTCCGCAATTCAGTTCTCAGCATAGAATCATCCCAATGAGCAACCAGGCAGTGAGTGGAATGTTATTTTGTTAACACACCCAAGCCAACACCATGGGAATAACACAGTGGCACTTACGCCCTACAATAAGCCAGGCATTTGAGCAGGAAAGTCCAGTGTCGATGGTGTACATGCCGTTGTCAGAGGGCACAGCGTTTTTGATAGTCAGCTGGTGGGTCAGCCCATCAGGACTTACAGAGATCTGGTGCTTCTCACTTGCCTCCAGGACGTTGGTTTTGTGCAACCACACAGCATCATGGCAAGGGGTGCGTAGGACACACTTGAAGATGGCATCTTCATTCTCAGGGCAATTCATATTGCTGAGTGGCTGCTCAAATCCCACAGGGATGGCTGCAATGGAAAATCAAATGCTACAGAAAGGAAACAGCTATTTGTCTTCCGAGAAAAACTTGTTGCAGCTAAAGGCAGGCAGACAGATGGGAACGTGCCATGCTTGTGAGCACAGGTTTAAGCAGAAAAAGCAAAGACTGAGATGTGCTCCTGTGCCCATTTCTGCCAGCCAGAAGAGCAGATTTTTTGTCTTTGTTATCTTCTGAAGCATTTATACCCCACATCACTGTGATGTGCTGAGGATTTGTAGTCATTAATGTATTTCAGCAGCATGATACTTGTATCAAGTTCATAGTAGTTATTATTCTGAGTTTACAAAAGGGAACTACAGCATGGGATTAGATAAGGAGGTTCCTCACTGTCATCTAAAAGTCAGAGCCAAACCGGTACTTGAACCTAGTCCTTTGGACTACAAATGCAATGACCAAATCACACGATCACCCCCCTGCTCTTTTTCACCTGTGTCATCTGAGGAGCCCTTATGTGGCCACCAAACCCCATGTTCTGTAGTTACTGGGTTTCACTGCTGAGCTTTGCATCTAATCCTAGTAAAAAACTTCCAGCAAGAACTACTTTCTTGTTGCAGTTGCACCTCCCATACATGCAACTCAGTTCCTTACAGTCAGGGTCCAGTTCAGTTGAGAAAACAGGCACATCCTCCACTCGGACTTGATACAATCCTGCATCTTCCTGCTGCACATCGTTGACAATGAATATGTACTTTTTCCCAATTTGCCTCAGGCAGTGCTTCCCATATTCATTACTCGTTTCATACCTGAGCCTTTCACCATCCTAGAAGAGAGAAGAGCATACACTTCAAGGCAAGGTATTTCAAACACACCAGGCTAAATCGGTGCTGGGATCTCCTTGTTGATATAAATGAATAACAACACAGAATTCTACACTAGTGCTATTCACAGTGGACTCATTGCTTATGGAACACCCGGGCAATGCTATGCACATTAAGGCCTCCATGGAACAGAGCAACAGGCTCTCAAATTAGGTAAAAAACAATCCTAGCTCACATGGGGTTTTGAAGCTTAAGAAATACACAGTTACTATAACCTTGAAGACAAAGTACTTTCTTTGCTTAGGTTTTAGCATCCTCACAGACAGATAGATGGGTGAGCTCACCACCTTTCTGTACCACTTTGGTTACTTCTCCACATTGTGGCTACATAGACTTCATGCCATGCATTTGATTCGGAAGTTCATAGAGCTAGTCTGACCTCCTCTTCAATGGATTCCAATTAAAGCCACTAACAACAGAAAAACATCCACAGCACTGATCAACCTGGGCGTCACACTGCAATAACCACAGAACTCAACGGGATGTTTTACCTCCTTGAGATCTTCTTTCACAGAAGTGAATTTTAGTGGAATACACTCTAGAAAGTGCATAAAATGGGCCTGGTTTTCATAGATGAAACTGCAGAATTTCTGCAGCCTGAAAGACACTGTTTGAATTTCCTTTTACTGGAAGAGCTCTTGAAGTCAAAAGGATGTCAGTAACCAACTGCTTCCCCTGTACTTGAAGGGCTACAAATCCCAAGTGATATTCACCACTAAAGATGCACCTGGACCCCCACATCAACACTTCTCCCTGACCAGCTGAGGGTTCCGCAATGGACATACAACTTTAAGAAGTTTATTTCCTCTCAACCACTGCCCAGATCAAGCATTTAACGGTGCAGATGACTTCAATGGCTGCTATGAACTGGCCAAGTGATGCTGCTCCCTCACCTTAAGCAGATAGACTTTGCTTTTTCTACTTTTCAGGTCCATCTCCAGGCTGAATGTAGCTTTTCCATCCTTGGTGACTTTGATGTGTTTGAAGTTTTTGATACTGTGTATTAGCTGCAAAGAAAGACACAAGAAGCTCATAAATGAGAAGGTTGCCACAACAGAAGTTCTTCAGCTATCGAACTAATCTGAAATCTACTTTATATCTGCATGGAAAAGAGCTACCTCTAAGTGAATGGAAGAAGCAGCTCTAAGTTTCCAGTTTTCTCCTGTAGGCAAGTTGTATTTTGCATGTTCCCTCCTGGTCATTCACACACTATGCAACCACTGTCCAGGTTTCTACATGTCCCTCTGTATGAAAGCCATTTTGACTCTCGGGTGTGTAACTTGTCAATTGGGCATCCAAATTCTCATCAGGGACAACCGAACACAGATTTTAGCATTACCTTACATTCAGTATAACTCCTAAAACTTATGAGCTGAACTTCAGAACTGTTAGCATTTTCATCTGCATGAGTAGAGAAGTAGGAGTGCTTTAAAACTTTGGCAGAAAGCATTCTCTGTCATACAACAGTTGCATCTACAAAGCAATTTAGGAAGGTTTAACCTAGTTAAAGAAGCTCCTACAAAACTATAGGACTCTAGTTTGATAAGATCAGTGCCTTCTCTGGTTGCAGTTTATTTTACCTCTCCTTGTTCACTCTCTGCGTCCTTCCTCAGCTCCTGCAGCTTTTTCAGCATCCCACGGAAGTCAACAATTCCATATTTGATACAGATTTTCTCATAATCTCTCTTATCTGCATGCAGCAGCAATTGCCAAACTTCTTCTTTATCCAAGGGTTTGGGTTTTGGTGCTGGGGCCCTTAGAACCAGGGGAAAAAAATACATCTAGACATTTTGACAGACAACAAAAGGTCTTGGTTTTCTATATTTAAGCCCCTTCCATCTCTCTTTGTCAGTTCTGTAGTTCACTTGGCCCTGGAGATGTAAGCAAGAAAGAACGGGACTCTTACAGAACAGGTTTGCTGCATCTATACTACACATTAGCTGCTGCCAGGGAGCAGTCTTGCCCTGGGCCATATAGGCAGCTGTACACTGTTCAACCAGCAGCAGTCACCGGCACCGTTTGGTCCAGGCTGACTTGCCCTCTCCCAGGTAGTTTTCCATCACAGTTCAGGAGCTGGCACACTCCGAGGTCATTCCCATGAGGCAATCTTTGGGGGTTCCCTCCTGCGGAATGAAGGGATCGGAACCAAGAGGTGTTGTTGCCTTCAAGATCTATGAAGCTGTCCCCTATCCTCAAGAAACCTTTAGGAAGTGTAACTATGGCCTTCATTGGGGAGGCTTACCGCTTCCTCAGCCGCTTCCTGGAGTCCTCAAGCGTCCTCTTTAACTCTATCACAGTAGGAGGGGGAACAAGAAACATTCAGATACCCAGCAGTATAAAATATATCCCCCAAAACATGGTAATGCAAAATAGCCCCTGGCCAAAGGCCATTCTACTGATGCTGTTCACCTCTGGTGACTTTTCCACACTTGACATGAAACTTGGAGCCAGTTTTCTCTGCAATCCTCATGTCCTTTGATGCTATTAAAGTCCATCACTTCCTAGTGATTCCTCTCTTTCTAGAGAGGACACCCAAGAAACCTACTATTTCCCAGCTGTGTTAACATGTTGGGTCCTGATGTATTTGACATGACAGAATCCTTTTCTAGCACTAATGATTCCTGAATCATTAACTAGAACAGCTCAAAGCCATGTCTAAGATCATCACTTTTCCCAAAGGTAAATAGTAAGCAGAGACAACACAACATGAAAGATCCATTAACCCTTCTCTCACTTTACAAGTTTGGGGCAGTAATAATGTGGTAGAGAGAGTATCAGCTTTGACCCCCTGCCTCAAAAGAAAGGAGCAATCTAGCAAACTTACCATCAGCAGCATGAACAGGGACGTATTTGGCTTTCCTCTTAAAGCCAACTGAAAACAGAACAAATCAGAACAAGCCATAATTCAGACTAACAGCAGTAACCCAATGACAAGAATGGGTCAGTTATATTTAACCACAAAGTGCCCGTTTCACTGCACTGACTATAAAGAGAAGCAGGGAACTGAGGTCAGGTGGCATCTGAAGTGGGATGGATCCCTCTCAAAAGGCTGCTTCATTCAATGCTGTAAAGAAAGGACTGAGCCACTTTGACACTAAATCCAGAGTGCCTGATTATGGTCCAGTGCGGTGACAATAATACCACTTTCTTCTCCCTTGCCTCATACTGTCATTGAGTGACCAAACTGGGGGGAGTCACAGGGGAGCTCCAGTCCTCAGTGAGGGAAAAAGTAGACCTTCACACCAAGGATACTTGGACAATGCTCTGGGCACCCACCCACAGAGGACAGCAAAAGTATTTGAGCCCAACAGACCTTTGGAGCACAGAACCTGTCAATCCTACCTTGTATGATCCTGAGGCCAGCAGAGCATGAAGCTTCCCCATATTCATTCACAGCAAAGCAACGATACAAATCACTGTCTTTTGCAGTGAGCTTGTTTACCTTAAAAAGAAGAACACAGTGAAAGCTCACAGGGATGTGCTGTGGATCAGCTCACACTCGCTCAGCCTCTAACAGCTACTCAGTGACATCTCAGATCTTTCTTCTGTTACCAGAACTACTCTGAAGAGCTTTGTTTGCTTATCTTCATGACATCTCAGATCTGGTAACATAGAATCATAGAGCATCAAGGGTTGGAAAGGACCTTAAGATCATCCAGTTCCAATGCCCCTGCCATGGGCAGGGACACCTCACACTAAACCATCTCACCCAAGGCTCTGTCCAACCTGGCTTTGAACACTGCCAGGGATGGAGCATTCACAACTTCCCTGGGCAACCCATTCCAGTGCCTCAGCACCCTCACAGTAAAGAGCTTCCTCCTTAGATCCAATCTAAACTTCCCCTGTTTAAGTTTGAACCCGTTACCCGTTGTCCTGTCACTACAGTCCCTAATGAAGAGTCCCTCCCCAGCATCCTTATAGGCCCCCTTCAGATACTGGAAGGTTGCTATGAGGTCTCCAGTCATATCTCTATTGCCCACTGCAGGTTTTCCATTGCTCTCCTGCTTCCATGCGTCCCGTCTGAAATAGTTGATATTTACCTGCAGAACGAATTCATTTGTAACGCTATTGAAGAATGTTTCATATTTGGCAGGGTCATCCATTCTGCCTTGTGTACGCGTCCATTTCACGTCAGGGGTTGGGACACCTCTGACCACAGCTCTGAAGATGGCATTTTTACCTTTGAAAAGAGGCAAGAAACTAGTTAAGACAGGCTTGAACATGAAGACTTTCATGGCAAGCCCCTTATGTTATCAATGGCGTGATCTCCAGAGTGAGACACCTCTGGTTTAGGCAATTCTTTTTGTTTTCCTCTTTAAAAGACGCCTAAATTACCAGTTAAAGTTGCATTAAATGCCAAAATCACTGCAAGCCATCTGCCCTAATCTCCACTCTATCTTACTGTCTTTCAAAGAGATGACTTGAAAACTCATCTCTAAAATTCACCACTGACACAACATGGTCAATGTGGGTTTACTGCACAGCCACACAGATAGGAAGTTATGCAGCCAAAAGAGCAATTCTTTGGTGTCTTGGTCTTATTTTCATCTCCCTCAATATCTGGGCAGGGCCAAAGAGCAAGCAGTTATTAGCCCAAGTCCAGGTTTGTCTGTATTCAATCATAAAAGGCCTTTACCATGTGGTCTTAGCCTGCAGACATGGCTGCACAGATCCACTGATCAGCTCTGAATTCAATGATGCTATAGCAAGTTCAGCCTAGACCTGCTTCTGGCAGCTTGCATGCACTACTTGTACCACAGCCATGAAATGCCCAGATCCATTCTGATCACACACATATTCCCTACAAGTTCCCATTCCTTCTCTTTGCTGGGACCATGCTGGATGTTAAATAACAAAGGACTTGCTGTGCTGGAGTCCCCTATCTCTAGACATCAGTAAAGTTCATCTGTGAATAGTTGTAGCTCCTGATCTCTCTTTCATTTGGATAAGCTTGGATTTAACAGAAGGTGGAAAAAGGAAAATACCCCTTCTGCACACTGAAGAAAACATGTTCTGAACAGACCACACTGTACCACAACTGGGAGCACCCATGCAGGGTACGATGGACTCCCTACATGTCATCCTTCTGCAACTTCTTCCTCACCTGTTAGCCTCACACCACTTTGTACTCCAACCACACCAGGCTCTGCTGTTTGAAGAGGAAAGGGAGGGAGAAGAGAATGGGGTTTGCCTGTGAGCTCTCTCCTTCTCTGCTCCCCTAAGAACCTGAGTATTCTGCAGCTGCCCACAGGCATCTCCAACAGCTTTACCACTGCCCAGTACAAACCTTTCCTTCCAGAAGGCTTCAAATACATTAGAAGCACTATAAACCAACAGACCAGAGAAGTGACTCGTGTAGGTGAGTGGGAGTGTCTGTCACAGGGCAATAGAAATGGAGATGAGTTATCCATGGATGTAGCTCAGGGTGGGAACAATTGCTACCTTTCTTTTGCAATAGTTTTGGCCTTCAGATGACCAACACAAAGGTCTCTCCAGGCAGTCTTGCAATGTTTCCCACACCCTTCTGCAGTCACCACCAAAACACTCACTTGATGCAGCAAAACCTGCTGCCAGCAGATTCTTATCAAAAGGCATCTTCGGACTTTTCCTGAGATTGCAGCACTATTATTAAACTCTGATTATGCCTTCATCAAATTTTAGTCATTCTGGTTGCAATTCCCCATGCCCCAAGACAGCTCCCCAGCTAGGAGTGTCAGCTCTGCCATGCACTGTCCACAACGGGGCAATGATGATATAATGAAAGACACTCATAGTGCCTGAATTCCCTAATATCTTGTATATGAACTACGAGGAACCTACTGTAAATGAACTCACTTGGAAACGTTAGAGAGGCTGAGCGAGGGGAAGCTGGTGGAGCAGGAGGGATGTACCACTAGAGGCCACTGCGCTCCTTCAGAACGTCTCAATGGCTCTTGAAACTCAACGCACGGTGTGCCCGCACTGAAATCCAGGCTGCCAGGATGGGTTTTGTCTTGTGAGGAAAGAGGAGCCACACGAGCTCCTCAGGCCGCTCCACTCCAAAACCCAACCAAACCCCAAATTACTCAATTACTCTGCAAGTGAAGACATTACTGGGAGGCTTCCCATTGCCTTAGGTCTCAGCTCTAAGATGCTGCCTTTCCTGTACTCTGTGCAAGATCCATATTGCTTCTTGCAGCTGCAAGCAGTACAGCTGCCCTTAAAAAGCAGTTAATTTTAGTGCTGAACACTCATAATACAAGCTAATTCAACGGGAAAACCCCAACTTTTTTCAATGTCCTTCATCTTTTGCTGCAAAATACTTAGAGAGCTTCCTGTAGGATTTTCTGGATTGCTGCATTCATTAGGAGCCAGATTCTGATCTTGCAGGCACTAATGAAAGCTCAAGAGACCTCTATCAGTACTGATGGAGTTGTCAACAGTACAATAAAGATTTGGGCCATACAAAACTACTTTTCTGGTCTAGTCAAATCTGTTCAGAAAGGAGCTTGATTTAACAGCAATGGTTCATGTAGGTGAGATGTGGGGTCAGGTCTCCAGGCCTGTGGCGTTGACTCTCACCTTCCTCCAACGTCAGAGAGACAGGTTTCCGCTCAAAGTCAGGTGTACTGCATCCCTCTGGAACCTCATCCACAAACTGGGTGATGAGAACACCCGGAACCAAAGATTTCTTGAGGGGTTTTACTAGAAAGTCAAGGAAAAATACATTCCATTAAATAACATGTTTGCCCTTTAGAAACAATCAGCCTGCATTGTCTCTCTGGGACTGTTCCTGCTCAGCTCCTCTTGGATTATAAAGGACACAGCCATTGCAAGGAATGGAGGCTGGAAGCGTGTCCGAAGGTTGGAGCATCAGAGTTACTGGTGTCTCTCCTTATGGTGGTGAGGCAGATGTCAGACTGCTGAACAAGAAAAGCAAGCTGGGTTCATTCCCATGGGTACCCCTAGGAGCTTTCACAGCCGCATCTGTTCTCTCACCTTCCTGATGGCTTGTCATGATGCTTTGTTCAGCTGCCCCTGGTCAGCACAAACAGGCTACGGGTTCTCCTGTGAAAGAGACAAATCGTTTCATTATCGACAGTCCCCAAGGGGAATGCTCACTTTTATGACACCGTTTGCCCTTCCTCACTTGCCACATCCTAGCAGCCAAGCTGAGAAAGGCTTGCCAATGAACACATCATGACACAGCTCTGAACCAACACAAACCAGGTATGAAAACGGCTAGCAGGGCTGAATGGGAAACGTACACATGTAACAGCATCCCTCTGTCACCTCTTCCATCTCCATGTCACCTGGCTTTCCTCCAAAGACCTCCTCTCGTGTTTCAGGCAAATATTACACCACATGGCACTCATGTGGTGAGTTCTGATGGATGGCAAGAGCAGTTGCTGAGAAGAAAGCCAGAGATGGATGTCTAAACTGGGGCATGAAGCAGCAGCACCTCCTGATCTAAATTAGCTTGTCTAAATTAGCAACAGACCTGAGAGCACACTAAAAGCTACTATTTACTTTGGAAGGAAATGGTAAAGCGTGAACTTGGCATTAAGTACTTATTGTTAGAGATCACTCGTGTGACCTTCTGCCAAAGGTGTCTCTCCCCCTGTATTTATAAACTGGACAACATGTAATGTAACACATCACCATCCTGCAAGCAAACTGTGAAGGCAGATTTCTTGTCACATGAGAGATGCTCAGAAACTCTAGAGTTACCGAAGGTCTGAAAGAGCAGTTAGATTAGATTCCCATGTGGCATTAATGCTGCGTCTCCATTTACCTCCTGCACTCCTTCAGTCAACAAAGGCACACAAGAGCAGGCAACTTTGAACAGCTTGAAAAGGCAGATGGACTTTGTCAGCACACCTATGACCCTACATCAGACACCCGTCCAGCCTGGTGCTGCCACACTGCACCCGATGAAAACTCAGAGCAGGACCCCATCTATCTCGGAGCTGCATGATCTGTGTGATGCTGACTTTGTGACCTTAATACAAATCTTATTTTAGGGCTCTACCTACTATCCAAATGTCCTAACTTGGAAAACCATTCTGTGAGCCTATGGACTTCAGTGGATGTGCACATGAAACAGGAAGGGGAAATGGTGCATGGGACTGCGGGAACAACAGCCAAGACCTGGCTTTCTCTCTCCTCCTGCTCTGGCGTGGGTAACTTGTTGCCATCCACCAAAACAAGAGGCTTCCACGTGAGTGTTCCAGCTTTTGTGTGCTGATATTTTGGCACGTCCCCACAGTTACTGCTGCAAACCACTGGTAGGTGGTGTAAAAATTGCCAATGAAGGGGAAGAAAAGCTTGTGGGAGGGAAAAAGACCCGAAGCAGACATGAAACGAAGATGATTCCAGGGCACCCTGCCCTGCAGCGGGCAGGGCATTGCACAGCAAATAGCAGAGATTTTCAGAGACTCTTGATCACCCTCTTCTGATGGATGTAATTTGTCCTCCAAAGCACTGAACTGTATTAATAGCAAACATTATAATCCCCTATTGCCTTTTGCAGCCTTTTATCTTCCTAAACATGTCACCACTCCTGGAGCTGAAGTGCCTAATGCTTACAACTTTCAACAAACATGATTGCTTGACATTAGCTTGCGGAGGCATTCCCCTAAGCTCTTATGATGTTACACTCACATTTGCTCTTTGCTACTCCTGTCTTCTTCCCCTCCACACTTGGCAACACTGATGAGCATCTACACTGAAACACAAACATGGTCCAAATTCTCAGGTCCAAAGCCACCAAGAAACCTATTGCTTATGGTACCAATGGTTGTTCTCAAGTCCAGAGTGACTGTGGATATACGTTTAATGCTAACCTATTGAGAGAGGGCTACATCCAAACCTAGTTTATAAAAGGAAACAAATACTGGTGATGTTTGTATAGGTGGTGATAGGCACCATGTACACATTCTCTCAATGTACAACATGCACTATGTGCACTATGTGTAAACTGCTGAGTTTATAGGGCCTGAAATATCCCAGAAATCCACTTGGATTAAAGATAAGCTGCTGTGAGTGCTTAAACTCCTGTGAATTCATACCTTCTGGAGGGCGAGACAGCAGCATGGTAATGCCACACATTGACTGCACAGTTAAAATAACAGTGCCGGGATATGCGAGAGAACATTCCTTCTGCAGAATTAATCCAACCACATGGCATTTCCTAGTGTCTTCTGTGTTAAAAGAGGCCCAGAAAATATCAGCTGGCAGAGCCATTCAGACCCTGCCCTGCTTACTGTTAACATTTCTACTCCCTTGTTACACGAATAACCATGGGTTTGCTTTGACTTCAGGTCAATCCCAGAAAAGGAAATCACAGCATCTTTTAAAAGAAATGGAAGACAGCAAAAGCCTTCCCAAAAGTACCACGGTGTAAATCTCATCTTCACTCACAGGCGCTTCCAACATGGGTGTCCAGGTTAAGATGATCACAGAGGTTGCTATTTATTCAACAGAGGCAAATACTTCCAAAAGGCAACCTACTCCTCCCTAGGGGAAATGCTGTTGACCAACATCCCCCCGCACAAGAGGGCTAATACTGGAAGTGGCTCAACAATCTCACTCCTCTGAAAAACACATCCTTGTTATGCATTAGGCTCGTTCATAATCAAGGCTTGGATGTTCCTCACCCCAGGCAGAAAGCTGTCTGTTTTTCAGCTGCAGAGACGTCCCCTTTGGAGGTAGTAGCAAAGTTTCCACGGCTTTGAATGCAGAGCAGGAGCAAGCCCTTGGCTAGTGAGGCTATTTTTAACCTACCAAAATAAGCCAGGTAGCCTGATGGGATGGGAGGTCTGCTCTTCAGCTTGCCCATCTATCATTCTGGCTGGCCGAGGCAGAGCAAGAGCCCATTCCCTTTTGCAGCCGGACTGCACATCAGCGATAGGGCCATAAATCAGCTCAGTGAATAAGCAAAACATTTTGGAGTCACAGGGTTTGGAGGCACTCGTGGTGTCACAAGTAGTTATTTACGAGGCTCAGGACAGTGGAACACACAGACAAGATGTGACATAATTGCTGGCAGAGGCCGGTGAGCAAAATTAACCAGACTGGTGGAGAAGTGACAGGCACTGAGTGGTTCATGTAGAGGTGATGGGTACAGAGCCATGCGAGGTACCACATCCTGGGAGTGATGAGGAGTACAAAGCCATTAGCACAGATGGCAGTAGAAGACTTGAATCATTACAACAAATCAATCAGCAGCAGATGCAGCAGTCTAGTTCTTGTAATTCCTAAAGATGAGGACAGTCCTGACACAAGGAACTTTCTAAGCAAAACCCCAAGGCTTTGTGAGCTCAGCCTCAGATCCTTCTTGTGCTTTACACCAGAGACCCAGGTTCTCACTGAGAAGAAGCATCTCTCACCTCAAATTGCTCTTTCAGGTTTGGGTGGGCTTTCTCTGTTTGGGCAACCTGGCCTAGTGGAAGGTGTCCCTCCCCATGGCAGGGGGTTGGAACTGGAGGAGCTTAAGGTCCTTTCCAGCCCAAACCATTCTATGGTTTGTTGACTTTAAGTAATATTTTGAACTTGAATCTTCCTATTTCAGAAGACTTTTAAAGGAAAACCTCTAAGAGTTTGGTTAGAACCATGGAACTGAAGGCCAGCAACTGCAGAAGCACAGCTCCATGCAAACTCCTGGGCATGTCAGAGAGGGGGAACGTCACAAGCACTCCAGTGATGAATTGAGGTCTTGTGGAGAGTGGGGAGGAATGCCCAAGGATCAGATTTTGTGTGACTTATTCCTTTGGTAAATCTATACTTAATTTGATCTTCTCTTCTGCCTCGGGGATTATGACTCTAAGTGATTGCTCATGCTGCCCACAAGCTACGTACACATACACCAGATACGCTCTATAGCTATTTGTTTACAAAAGTGGCATTGACACAAAATGCCATAAGGAGACATACACAAGCTGTATTTTCTAAGTGAAGGAAAGCAAGGGAGCCCCAACAGCAATGAACTGAAGAGTGAGCTCAGGTCAGTCTGGGATGACAACACAAGGACAGGTCAGTGTGTTCCTGTCGATGTCCGCAGCACATCCATGAATTCTTGCCTAGCAGACATGCATTTTCATACAGTCAATGAATGTCAAGCAAGGATCACAGAGCGAATACAACAGATGTCCTTTAGGAAAAAACAACATATCCCTACTTACTGCCCTAAGAAATGCGTGCAAAACACATTAGAAACCATAGTGTACCCATACCACAAGTCCCACGTTAGCTACATGAGATAGTTATGGCAGATCTACAGCAACCTGGCATCTTCCCAGGGAAACCAGTGCACGCTACAGGACACCACTCCTCCCAGAACATCCTCACCCATTTTCAGACCCACTACACCAGAGAGCACTGGCTGCCATGAGAGCGATGGAGACACTGCACACTCCCAGCTCTCTATCACCCACACACAAATCTCAGTGGGGCCATGACCAAACTCACTGCTTTACAGGTTGAACTTCTGAGATGATCCTGCTCGAAGTCAATATTGCATCTCCCAGGACCACGGTGGCTTCTTCTGTTGGCTCAGGCCACAGAGCTCTTCATAGCTGTTCAATAGGTCTCTTGGACACAGATATTAGCGATCTGTATGAAAGAATCCGTGCCCCTTATTAGCCTGCTGTAAATGTTACTCAGTGGCAAAAGAAATGAGATTCCTGTCCCTCTCACACCTCTCCCCTCTCCTAGAAGCTATGTCTGTGCTCAGGACCTGCCCACAGTCTGCTCTGTGTAGTTGTAGGGGGCTCATTATACACCCATGGTCCCACAGGAGCAGGGGAGGTGCCATTGAGCCCAGAGCCTTTGGCAAGCCCCAAGCAAGGCAGTGGGCCAGCTTGGTCAGATGTGACCATCAGTCAAGACAACACTGGATTTCCAAATGCAAGCTTAGTCAAGACTTCGTGCCTTGAAGAAGGACAAGCATTTGTATGGATCAATGGCTTCTCCAAAGAAGGAACAAGCTGTACATCCAAGTTCTGTAGGACACACCAGTAGACTGGTTCTCAGAGGCAACAAGTCCTTAGATCTCATGATTCCTTAGCAGAGAAGTCAAAACAGCGGGTTATTGCACTTCTGTATGGAGTGACCATGCCTGGGCTTGGCCTTCATACCCAGAGTCTTTCAGTCTGTGCTATTCTGAGAGGTCTGAAAGAAACCCAGCTCCTCCTAGAACAGCCCCACTGCTACAGCCAAAACAGACACCTCAAAGTGCAGTCTTCCCTTCCAACCAAGCCACAGGCTGATCCCATGAGCAGCACCAGGGCCACCGATTTCCATGGACCAGTTTACACTAGAAGTGCAAGCAGCATATTGTGTCCTAAAATCCTTTGTTTCCAGTCTGCCCTTGCAATCTGTAAACCTCCTTCCCCTACTCAGAAAGCAGAGGTACCTCTGTTTAATTCCTGATGTTCAGAGATGGCCAGTCTAGGACTGAATGCTACCTTCTCCCAACAGCACTACATGCAGACAACAAAGCCTGATCTCTTTGAGCATGAAAGTCTACCTTCATCACTTCTGGCTGCGAGCATACAATCTTGATTCCCTTTGCATTGTGTCCCACATATTCATATTAAATCCCCATGTTCAACTCTGAGGGGAAGGGCTGGTTCCTGAAGTTGGCAATCAAAGTATTTCTATCACGGTGACCATGGCTCACGTGAAGTTTTCCTCTGGTTTCCCATCAGAAGACTCGAGTTCTGAAATCTGTGGTTAACAAAGGGAACATACAGCAAAAACCTGGTCCTGTAGCTGAGACTCGTGTCAAATAGGACAAAGAGAGAAGAACCACAAAGAGCACCATTTCTGCTCGTCTGAGGTAAGCTTTCAGTTGAAAAGCCACTGGCAGTTAGCATTTTGATCTGTCACACATCAGCTGTTCTGATCCAGAGACCAAAACTTCTCCTTTGTAGCCCTGGGCATCACCATTTTAATCCATTTAAAATATAAATGCGACAATTAAATTCTGGAGTAGTTTTCTTCATTCTTTCCTTCTTTTTGACAGTGATTGCTGCTGACAGCGTTTACACCTTCCTCGTTCCTAAGAAAGCAATGCCAATAGAGGAAGCTGCAATTGTTCAAAAGCTTGGGCTGAGATCATTCAGTGCTGCATCCCTTGTTATGTTCACAGTGATACAAAAGTAGAAGCAATTCCAAAACCAAAGATATGAACAATTTAAGAGTTAACAAGCCAAGAAAAGAAGCCAGCAAGGGTTTTCCACCTGCTAGTGGAGAACCCTCTCAGTAGCAGATCCTATTTTCTATCCATATCCTCAGCAGTTTCCCACCTTTCTTCACCTTTAGGCCATCAGGATGCTTCCTGAGACATTGACTGGGTGCTGTAGCCGTAACATTAAGTACCTTTAATACAACCAGTTGCTACACAAGACTCTAAAGACACCTCATGTAAGCCATGGGAACGCTCCCTGAGGAAGCGTTTATTGGCGTCTACCAAAACCTGAATTGAGGGCTCATCAGCTGCAGCAAGAGCCTTCCCCTAAGCAGAGTTAGCCCAGCCAAAGGACCTGCACTTCCCAGAGCCACAAGGCTTCCTGCTGTTCCCATGTACGCTTCATTTCCAGTGGTTTGCTCCCCACTGGCAGTGCACTGCCAATTATATTTAGTCTCAAATCACATTTAGCTGTTGGGGTCTGCTTGGACAACTGAGGAATTCCCAATTAGAAAGACAGTTGGATCTTCCAAGTACCAGAAGAGCCACAATTCTGCCTGGTCCACTGAGGCCAGACCTGGTAAGACTTTGCCTTATTTCCAGCCCTGGTTTTATGGTTTCCTTGGCTGGGAAGGAATGGAGACCTCTCCTACAGATGGGCTGATAACTCAAAACCATCTGTGACAGAGCAAACTCCTCCAAGCCACTGACCTTCTTCCATTTCACAGTTTGTTTGCCACCCACCCACCCAAAAGTCCTGTTAACCCCTGCATGCCAGTGGATAAGCTACCACATACCACTGAAAACCTGTAAAATGTCACAAGGAAGCCCGGGTACATTCAGCAGCAGTCACTGCTTCCACTGCAAAGGGGATGTGTTTTGCCCTGGAAGCAAGTTCATCCCGCTGATGAAGGGCAGTGAGGAAGTGTCAAGAGGCAACAGCTGCAGGGCAGTTATTCCAGGACTGAATTTGAAAGTGTATTTTATGTGGAAATGAGACTCTTCAGATCTTCTGTTCTCCCTGCGATTCCCTTCTTTGGTATACGAGGATGAAGGCGACCCAGTCTGACCAGTGACAACGGGCACAACACCTCCTATAGACTGTTGGTGCCCACCACGTGGCTTCAAGCAAGAGCTGAAGAAACCAGGACACAGTAGGTCCAAAAAGCTGACTGGATTTTCCAGCTCATGAGCAGATGACCAAGGTCAATACTTGAGTCACTTGGCCAAGCTGCACCGTTCCCCTACAGCATGGTCACTGTGCTGAAGGTCAAGGGGATGTCAGGGAGGCTTTGGGGCAGAAATACTCAGGGATATGTAAGAGGTGAAGACATGCAAAGCTCAGTAGTCAGGTTCAAAGTCTATTTTGACATAATAGCAATAAGAACTCCATAAACACTACGCAAGAACCCAAAAAGTTGCATTCAAGGATGGACAAGGGCATGGAAAATGGAATAAAGGTCCAAATTCAGTGAAGACTACCTGCAGCCCTACAACCACCCACACACTGTATCAGATCAGGAGGGCTGAGAGCACTGATCTTGCTGGCCCTGTACAAATTAAAGGACATTCTCTGTTCAGTTCAAGCAATGGACCAGTTGGGTCACAGAATGGCATTTTGTTTTTAGCTGGAGAATGCCCTGCACTAGGATGAGGAATGTACATACACCATGTATGGGGGTGCCCCAAATGAGTCTTCTGGACTCATACTACTGAATTTTATATAAATGTGATGCACTGAGCATTGAGGACTCCCAGTTCCCTTTGATTTCAGTGGAAGATGGAATTTGGAGCTCTTTAGAGATAACTGCTCTAGTGGAAGGTGTTCCTGCCTGTGGCACAGGGTTGAAACTGGATGAGCTTTAAGGTCCCTTCCCACCCAAACCAATTTATGATTCTAAGATGCCTGGACCCTCAAGACCATCTCATCCATGTTGTACACCCCAAAAAAAATTTAAGGGATTATTTTAAGGCTCAAAGCCTTGGTTATTTTACTGACCATACTCAAGATGCCAGAGTCCCGTTTGTCAGCAGCAAGCGGAGGTCCATCACTGCTCACACAGAGCCATGATCGGACCCCCACTGCAGTTAACTGGACTTTCACATGCTGAGATGCAACTCAACATAAGGAAAAGGTTAAAATCAGGGTGATGTATTCAAGCAGCAGCAGTGTCTGCTTTCACATTGAGGATTAGTCCCCTCCTTCCCACAGTGTACAGAATTCCTTCTGTTCCCTTGTTCACACTGATTTAATCTGTTTGCATCTATGACTGACTGGAGGTGACTTGCTAGCATGATCTGTGATTTAGATGGAGCCCGGCTACCCATAAACTTGACATTCCTCCTTTTCCCTTGCCACAGCTGCTCTCACAACTACTTTTCCTGCACCTTCCGACACCTGGGCTGGCCAGCACTGGAATTTCCTTGCCCTTCTCAAAATCATGGACAACAAAGATGCGATTAAACATACACATTGTCAGACACATCACCCCGTCAGCACTTCTTGAGGAGCTGAAGAAGACATCTTCACCCACCATGTGCTTTAGCAAATGCAGTCAGGCATGCCTGCACCACCTGCACTTGGCCCCATACTGCCAAAAGTCTTCTTCTCCAGCTGAAACCAACAATGCATGCCTGAACCATTTCACATCCACCCCTTGGGCATGCGGAGGGTTAATAAAGCTCATTGCATGCACTGAAACCCACTATATTGTGCTGTGTGGATGCCAGGAGGCATTCAAGTTACAAAGCTGCTTCTCATTTCTCCCCCTCCCCAACAACACAACACAACCAGACACAACAAACCCTCCCGTTGTGATTTATTTGCTTTCCCAAGGAGCCAGGAGCAACAGATGAGGAAAACCCAGTCCTCATGAGGAGCTATTTTAATGTTCCGTGCCCTGATGTGCCAGCAAGTTTGACACTGAAGCAAATGGGAAGAAAATCCCTCTGAAACCCCCAGAGGACACAGCATGTGGCACCTTCCCACTTGCATTAGCTTCACATTATTCCCAGCGTTGTTGTAGTACTGCCCTGCCTGACCTGTGCCTGCACAAGTTCATGTCCGGCACCTCCAGAGGACTCCCATCGCTGGGAATGCTGCCCTATCCCTTCTGAAGGTTGTCCTCCGTCAAACTCTCGCCTTTCCCAAGCGTGCCATAAAGTGCCATGGAGAGCCAGAGAATGATGCCAGCACACAGCAAAGAATAACCGAAACAGAAATAATCCCACAGGAAAGAGGCCATCTCTCCCCATTCAACCCCAACTTGCCCCAGAAATCCCCCAGTGCCCCAAAAAGGTCGCAGCGCTCCCCTTTCCCCCAGCATGAAACCAGCAGGGACCTCAGCTCCCCATCAGTCACCTCCTCTGCCTTGTGAAGGTGACCACAAGCAGCCCAGCACTCACCTGCGGGTGCCACAGCAGAGCTCCTTGCGTTCCCTTGGCGCTGGCAAAGCCACAGCTCACCCGAGTCCTTCCTGCAGCCTGCGTTCGGCTGTGGGATCAGTCCCTGGGATCCTCTCTCAGCTGCTCCCTCTGCCTCCCCTTCTCTCACACGTGCTCCCTCTCGCTCTGGTAGGTGAAGCCTGTCACAGGGCTGTTAGCCGGCAGGACAGATGATTGCTGCGTGGGGACGTGATGCACCTGCCTCCTATTCGTTATTATTTCGGTCCATACCAGTAATGGTGCTGGACGATTCCGAGATTAACGTAATTCTCCAGCGTGTCCCAGTTGGAGTGGGGCTTTCGCTGCAGATTGTGTTTCCTCTTCACGGCAACTCATTAAAAACGGACACAACCCAAGGGCTCCGGGGTGCTTTAAAGGAAACAGCCGCTGAATTGGGTTGAAGCCAATCTCGACACTAACCAGGGCTATTAACCCATCAGGTGAGGTGAACTTGGCTTCAAAGCACATTGAAAGATGAGGCTTCTCCAAGCTTCCTCCTTTCTAAATAACTCTTGAAGAGTTTGGGTTATGAATATAAGGGGCAGAGCGAGCACCTCACTCTTGAAAAGCAGGAGCCTGCACTCCAGCTACATGGCTGGGAGCAGCCGCTGCTACCCCCATGGCTTTGTACACCCCTGGGAATAAAAGGTACCCTCCAAAGCATTAGCAAGGGATTAAGAACCATTAGGTCAGGCTGGAAATGGAGATCAGATGCCCCTGCAGACTCGGTTCTGCTTATCAGTAAAGGCTTTCTGTGCTGGGAACAGCAATCCAGAGTCACCTGGAGCTGATGGAGATAATCCAAGAGAAACAAGACCAAGTCCCAAAATTCAACCGCCCAAGGCAGGAGATGAAGAGCTTACAGGCAGCTTCTTCAGCTTGCAGATGCTAGTGGGCACCCATGGAGCACCCAGCAGCCCCCTTGCTCCCATCCTTTCCCAGGTCTGGATGTTGTAGACATCTCTGGTGTTCCATTGTTCACCACAGGGATAGTCACACCTTGAGTGATAATGCCACTCATCCTCAGTAATTTCAAAGGTAACCCCACGAGAGGGGGGACATGAGCACATCAATGCCTCTATAAAGATGGATAAAGCTCAGCAGCTTGTCTTCTTCAAGGAGGAAAACGTGTTTGTGGGATAGACTGTACAAGAAGCACTCCAAGCACTGAAATGTGGGCAGACTCCACAGCCCCAGCAACGTGACCTGCCCTAGCATCACACCAAGTCCAGCACCACCCAACAGAAGAGGCAAGAATCTAAAGTAAACTTCGTTTCCAGAGGTTTTGCTTCTAATCCTTGAAAGTAATCCCACACACACCAAGCAATGGGCCCATTGCCCCCCTGCATAAAGCTATAGCTCTGATGCACCAAGCCTGGGCAAGCAAGTAACTGTAAGAAGGCATAGCAAGAGGCAGCAGGGTGAACAAGCAGGAGGACAGCAGGTTTGCCTGGGCTTTTAAGTCAAATAACCCAAACGGGGTTATCATTCCCCAAGTCTTTTTCTGCAGATGAACCAGGTTTTGGGGTTTGGATTCTCAGTCCCTTGGCATCACAGTGGCCAACTGAAATCTACTGAGAGTTTCCTACCTTGCTGCTCAATAGCTCAGCATCCTTCCTGTTGATGAGAGAGCTGAAGCTGGTACCCAATCTGCCAAGGTTATACCACAACAGGTTTAAGCCATAAAGTGCAAGTGACACATCCCAAAGAATCCACATTTGCACACATTTATGCACATTTACAGTCAGCAAAACATATAAATATATGGTCCTATTTAGTGTTGTAGAAGAGCAAAAAATACCTTCTGCCCCCAAAAGCAAAGTACTGCAACAACCCAGGAGATGCTAAAATCAGCCTCAGAGACTTGAAAACATGCCCCAGTTACCAGACTCAGAAATCCAAAGGCCAAGCTCGTGTAATGTATTTTACTTAGCAATCCCCTGACATATCCCTTCCCTATAACCCACTCCAGTGATTTGTAAGCCTGGGTATTCCCTTCCCTTTAACAACCCTCATAAAGACGATTTCCTGCTGGACATGCAAGAGGACTGTACTGGAAACCCCCCAAACGCTGTCTGAGCTGACCTGAGGGATGTCAGACTCCAGCTCTACTTTTATACCCAGTTAGGAAGTGGTTGCTGGTTGCCTCGGAATTGCATTTGTCAGGAATGGAAATTCTTTGCCAAAATAAACCAGTCAGATTTATTCAGCACATAGATTTTGTTACTGTCCCAGAGTATTACCCTAAAACACTATCAGCTCAGCCAGCCCTGGCCCTCTCCCCTTTCATGTTTGCAACCCGGTCATGGAGTTGTCTGTTAGAAGTTGTACCGAGGGAACAGAAACCTCCTCACTGCTACACTAGATGAGGATAAAACACAGAAATGAACTACTAGTGAGGCCTGAGTCTTTGTTGTGACTGACTAAGGATACGATCCTCTTTGTGTTCTTCTCATCTTGACGATCAAGCAGCATGGTGTCTCAAGGATGTGGACACAGACACAAGACACAGTTGTGCCAGTTGTCACATCTGAGCCAGTTTTCGGCTGCCCACCACATAGCCTTGACAAGTGTCCTACAGGCAGGCACCACAGCACTGCTTGAGATTGAAAGCACAAGCTCCATGCCAAAGCAGGATGCAGCCTGGTGGCAGAGCACCCATCCGATGGGCCAAAGATCTACTTTGATTGCAGTTGCCATCTCTCAAGCACCCAGACAGAATGATACCTCACAGTCCCTGTGGACACTTGAGGCTGTACAATTCACTATTGCCTTCAAAGGCCAGACTACCTCAGTAACCACTGGAAGTCCTGCCTGTGGTGAGGCTGATGCCAGGTTGACCTACCCCGTAGCCAGGAGCTCAGCGCACACACTTGGACATGAAGGGTATGGTTCCAAGACAGAAACTCTACCAGGTAAAGTGCTAGGAACCCCTCCATTACCCACACCCAGGGAACAAATCTGAACTACCCCTCTCAAGCTGTCCTACAGCCTTCTGCCAAAGCAAGTACCTGCAAGGCAGCCAAGTTACTGAAGCATCCAACTGCACTTGGAGCCTTCCAGTGGCTTCAGCTACAAGTCAAACTAAAGGCCATTGCCACCAGAGCTTCTTTTATTGCACATCCCTTTCCCCCACCCCTAATCCACCCCCATCCAATGGCTCACTAATTGCATCTTCAGAACCGCAGCAGGGGGACACAAAGAGTGCTCCAAGTATCCAGTCACATTAAAAAGGATGGGCTACAACTGAAGCAGCATGGATTACCAAATTGGGGTTGTGATTCACCTCTTCCAGACTCCTTTAAATGGAATTAGGAGACTCAGTGTAACTCACCTGACCCAGTACCAGAGCCTGCCCTTGTGAGCTCTGGTTGCTATCTGGGTAACCTGATCTGGGAGAACAGAACAGGGCAGATGACACTACGAGAGACCGTAAGTGCCCATCCTACCAACAACGCCTTCTTGGGTCCAAGCCTGAAGCAGGTCTGATATCACCCTGTCACTCCACCCTGGCTGACAGTGGCAGGGTTCTTGATGGTTTTGTGAGGGCTTTCACCACATCATGAAGGCAGCTGAGCTTTTTGACCCCAAACAGCCCATGGCAACCAATTCCCTCATTCTCCCAGGTGATAGTGACCCAATGTGGGACAGACACGGACCCTTATTCCTCAGTACCAGGCCCAAGGCCAGGGCAGGAACCTTAACAGTGAAATGCCTGTAGGAGTGCAAAGAGAGCAGGAAGAGCTGAGCTGTTCCCTGATGGAAAGGGTAGCCCAAGGGACCTTCCTAAACAGACACATTCACCCAGAACCTGATGAGGGTGAGCCAAGAGGTGATGGCAACAGGTCCCATCAGCAGCGGTGTCATCGTCAAAGGCAAGGTGAAAAAGCCAGGTCCGAAATCAATCTGGGAAATTCAAAGAGCAGCCTCTTGGGAACAGCCTGAAAACAGCCACAACTACAGCAAAATGTAGGAAGAGGAGGGATGCCCAGGCCTGAGTTTAAGTAGAGCTGCTGGGCCATGAGCAGAGGGTGTGGGAAGGGGTCCCATGTGAGACTGCTCAGGGCAATTAAGGCCTATTAGTGCCCTGGATTGCAGAACTTCATTGCTGTGACACCCCAGCTCATCCAAACCTTGCACCCAACAGGGGCTCTCAGCACCATGCTTCTAGTTCAGCTCTTCCTTCCACCCTGCCTCCCCTAAACCCTCCTGCTTCTACAGGTGGAAGCGTGAAGTTTGAAGTGCTCAAACCTGACTAATAAGTACTGAGCACTTGGAGCCTTCCCTAACATTGCTGGGATCACCTGGATGCACATGACCTGGTGCCCACCTGCTGGACCACTGGGATATGAGCATCTTGGTCATATGTGGGATGGAGGGAACGGAAACATTTTGCTTTACAATAAAATCAAACCACTTCCTCTCCTTTAATGTCTCACACTGAGTTCTGCCACCTCGACACAACATCACTCCCTACCACACAGCTACGTTTGCAACTGCCTGGGAAAGGCAGAGCCTCTGAGTAGGAGCCGGACTTTATCTTGCAGCCCAGTTTACAACCCGGTCTCTGGCAATACTTCTTCTGTGTTGCCTTTTGTGAGAGCCGTGTATTTTCCAGCAATCAAGCACGTTCTGCTGCCTGTGGTCAGGCAGACAGGCAGGCTCCTGCCTGACCCAAGGGCAGAGGGACAGAGGGAGGTCGCTTTTCAAGGCAGATGGATGGAGAGATGCCTCATCGAAGTGGGCAGGGTAAGGTCAGGGGTGCTGATACATCACGGCCAGACTAGAAGGGAGGAAAGGAGGAGTGGGTGTCAGAGACAGATCCTGTGTCAGGACGGGTGATGGATGAGGGAGGACCGTCTTCTGGGAAGGCGGCTGGGGCAGACAATGCCAGTGCCAGGAGCTGAGCAGGAGGAAACAAGACCCACGCGAAGGCCCTGATTAACCCTGCATTTGGACAGAACTGAAGGGAAACTGAATGGCAAGCAAATTGCTCGCAGTTTGGGCCTTTACGAAGTCCAGCATGTCCTTGTCAATCTCTTTGACTGGCAGGTTGGGAGTCCCAGATGGTTC